TAAGAACTTCTTTAAAAATGTAACAGACACAAAAAGCATGGTTTGGGCTGAACGGCAGCACCCGCTCTCTATTTAATGGCATTTGCATGTTTACAGCTTTTCAACTGTTTTTTTTTTAAAAAAAGACTTAAAGAAATGCAGCACTGGTATAAATTTTCAGGCTGCAGTTTTGTAGACCAAAGATTTTGCTCTAGTTCATGAGGCAGCTATATCATCACTGACTATGGCATTCCCATGCTATTTCATGAGCGTGATCAAAATTTCTCCAGAAGAAATGTCCTTTTGGTAAGAAGACAGGGGATTTTCCACAGCCCCGTGACTCTTGGTTGCTCTTTGCTTCAAAGACGTCGAGTAACAGCCACTGAAAATGTGTTGCTTTTGTGCTGGTTCCATGTTTGCTGGAAGTACCGTGGAGAGCAGATGGGTACCAGTTACCAGTGTGGGACACCGCGTTCTCCGCACAGTGCTGAATGCTGAAGCGTGGCCTTGAGGGGCAGAGCTCCAGGTCCTGTAGATAATTCTCCATTTTGCTGGTTCCCAAGGGTGCGTTGAGAAAGCTGTGGTTATGAGCATGTGAAAGCCTTAGGTACCAGGTGACAGTGAGCATCTACCTTGTTCATCCTTGTATATGCAACTGCTTATACTTCATCTAATTGTGATAGAAGAAGAAAATAAATTCCCCTCAGGCTGTCTCCTTATCCTCAGCTTCACTTTTTAACTAAGGGTGGAAAATGGAGAGGGCATCCTCAGCCCATACTTTAACCGTTGGATTACTTCTTTGTCAGTGACATTTAGCTGGGATGAAGGCTCGTTTCCTCGCTGAAATTATCATGGTTATCACCGTTCTGCAAAGCTCACTGCTCTTTAGTAGCTCTCAGACAAAAGATGCAAACAGCATAAGAAGCCTGAATTTTGGTATTTGTTCATCTGTCTTTTGAGCTTCCTTTAGTTTGATGCTCGCTGACTGCAAAGACCGTTTTGCAGTTCCTCTGCAGTGATGGTGGGTCAAAAAAAAACATTTCTGCCAACTGTCCATCCGCAGTGAGCGGTACAAAGAGAAAACCTCTTTCAGAGCCAGCTTCCTCCCTCCGGCTTTGACGAGAGGATTCAGAAGGCCCAAAGCAATAAGTCCTTTTCTTTTCTACGTTTGGATTAAAAAAAAACCTGCTGTTGAGATGGCGCTTTACGCTGCGGAGGCCTCCTTTGGTGTTTGTACGTTATTCATGGTTCCCCAAGGGGAGGCTCGTGGGGTGGCTGCATCCAGATGGGCCTGCCAGGTAATCCTGGCTCCTCGGCGGGGTGCCACCTTCTGCAGAGTGACAAGGGCCTGGAGAGATGAAGAGGGGAAGCAGCGTGAGTCGTCCCAGGAGGTGAAGATGCAAGTCCTTTTCTCTGTATAAATTGTCCTTGAAGGGAAAGTGCACATAAAGCTGTGCCATGAAGCAGATGTTCGGTTGTGGTGTCAGCTGAAGCGCTGCTCTTTTTAAGGGCAGTTGTAACTGTTGACACAGCCCAAAGGTGCATGTAGCTGTCAACTGTTTCTTTTGGAAATTCATTCTGCTTTAATAAATTGGAGAGATTCCTTGTTCTGGCAAAGTCCAGAAATAACAGATGGCTCATGTGTCAGGCATCAGCAAATCCTAAAGCTGTGGGCATGACCCCTGTCCATGTCTAGCTGAGAAATCTACCTGCCCTCAGGATTAGGTTGCCCAAGAGTTTTTGGTGTTTTCTGTAACAAGACCAAAAGTGTAAGTTCCACTTGCTTATAGCATGTTGTTGTTGGACTTAAAATCTCTCTTCCACAAAATTAAGGGAGATTTAATGTGATTGCTGGTATTCTTTGTTGTGTTTTGAAGAGCATTCAAGCTGAGAAGTTTTAACTTTCTGAATGTTGGACTGATGAGGCTGGACAAAGCCAAACTCTGTTTTGCTCAAGCATTTGAGCCTTCATCATCCATGCAAGTGCTACCACTGATTTTGCGTGACAACGGGGTTAAGAACATATGGCACGAGTTCAACATCTTGTCAGACTCCTATGGACCTGTGTTTCGGGTTAGTGTGGAACATGTCACCAGATTTTGCTTGAGATGAAACAGGTCCTGCAGGTACTGGGATGAGTTGTTGTAGTCAAAAACAAGTCAGCCTTTTTTTTTTTTTTTTTTTGTCTACAGCACTGTAGATCGTGACCTCCTTGATGATATTCGCATGAAGCTGCAGCTAGCCATAGTATTCTCCCCAGTTTTCATCAAGGTTTCACACTCATCCTGCATGTCTAAGGAGAGTATGAAGGCTTTACAATTGAATATGAGAGCAGGACTATTGAAGAACTAACAGCCTCTAATAAGTGCCAGAAGTCAAATGGAGATGATACCTTGTGTTTATATGGCACCATTTAACCTTGAGCGTTCCATGACAGTGAATTCATCGAATTGTTCTGTTCATCAATGCTTCTTCGTCATGAGTCACACCAGCTCGTTATCAGTACTTTGCCCTGCTGCACAGTAATCAAAGCCAGGGAATGGAGCTGGGCTTCCCATACTGAGGACCCTGACAGACATTCTAGCCAAAAAGTCAGGTAACCGTGAAATACACTGACAAGGCAGGCTGGAGATGAGGTGGACGAACAGGGCTAGTGCTATTGCACGCCGCTGACTGCGGAGTGACGCATGAAGAATTCTGTATCGCTTGTGGAGCCATTGGCATTGTTTCTTTCAAGGTAGATTTTTCTCATGCAATCTCAAATTCTGAAATGCTGCCTTGACATACCATCTCAATAATATGGGAAGACTTGGGAAATTCAGTGAAATGGTGATATTTTAGTTCTGTGTCTGTCAAAGGAAGGATGTCAGTCAATCACGGGCTGGAAAAAGCAAGCAGTGTCTTATTGCTATGTGAGACTGAAATTCTTAATGCCCATGTGTGCAGACCTTTGCCTCCATTTTCAGGCACTTCACTCCTTTGAACAGTCACGTATTTAACCTGTGTTGAGCACAAGTGTACACCTTGCTGCATTTCACAGTGGAGAACCATTTCCCCGCATTCCCGCAGCAAAGGAGAGATGAGGAGAAACAATAACAGAGAAACTTTAGTTACTGCCCGAGGAGATCTGCCGTACCAGTGAAGCAATTAAAATGACACCATTAAATCAACAGTTTGTACGCTTACAGAGGGTGAGCTTGGAGATTGCTCTGGCTATGAAGAAAGATCTAAAACTGATCACTTAAATGTTTTGATTACTTGATCTGCTGATGCACTGTCTGATGAGGTGATTGCTCTTCTGCAAGAGGATCAGATCACTTCCACTTCGATCTCAGGGACATCCCCCTGAACTGACTGCTCATCTGACATAGTTCATTTCGTAGCAGCAAGGGTGTTTCAAGTCACATTGATTGCACATGGAGATCAGAAAATTTTCGAGATAGGCTAAGCACCTGAATGAGGGTGGCTGGCATCCTTTCTCACTTATGTTGTTCTTATGATGCTTTGCATCACTGTTATCAGAACCATCTTTTTTAGCTGCTCATAGAATCATTAAGGTTGGAAGAGACCTCAAGGATCATCAAGTCCAACTGTCAACCCCACACCACCCAACCCACTAACCCATGTCCCTAGCACTAGTCTAAGCAAAGAGATTAAGAATTGAATTTGTAAGTAAGGCTGCTTTCCTTTTCGTGGTGGTCTCGCCTTGGCATAGTCGGAGCACAGTGACACAGCTGTGTGCGCAGACAGCACTGGTGGCACTGGTTTGCAGCTGTTCTGTGACTGGTGGTATCTGTTTGATGATTAACTAAAGTATTTCAGCCATTAGAGCTGTCAATCTGACACCTTTGATGAGCACTAAAATAAATCTGTGCTACCAGGAACTGCTCTTTTTTTCCCCTCTGCTTTTGAGTTACTTGACCCTTTGTGTCCTTGCCGTTAACTGCTAGCAAGGCTAATGTGTTATAAACTCTGAAAAGTGAAGTATTTTTTGCACAACAGATGTTCCTGATCAGGAATCAGGCAAAGGATCTCATCAATGTTTCTCTGAGCAATTTAATTTGTCTGTTGCACGGCACACCAGCCACCTCCTGTCTAGTGACTGGCGTGCTCAAGTCCTACTTCATTTCAGGATCAGTTCCGTTCATCTCACAGAATTATTGGGTTTTTTTCTGTACCAGAGCAAAGAGAGTGGAAAAAAGGAAATTGCTTCTTTGCTTACAGTGTTACCAATAATGCATCATAATGAAAAGTAGTAAAGGCCTGCTTCAAAAATAGGAAACACAAGTACTACATTTCAAGAGAATTAGAAAGTAGTATTGAAGAAATAGCAATTCAGATTTGAGGGTGTTTCTTTAGCGGTTGTAAGGCTCAGAGGCAGGCATGAGCAGCATATAATCCATCAGATTCTTAGTGCAATTTAGTGAGGTGGAAGAATTGATATGTTTTTCAGAAAAGTTGTTTGCTATGGATCCAGTTCTCCACTCCTTAGTCATGCAAGTTGTTCAAAATGAGTAATTACCAGGGTTTTTGCTTGCTTTTCCATTTAGTTTGTTAAAACTGTATCGCTCTGCTGCTGTCTTGTAATGATGGATGGGTACTGCTGGAGATGTAAATTCTGTAGTTACTCTGTAGTTAAATTTCCTAGTTGCTAGTCCGGCACAAAAGAGAGTTGTTTTGCCTGTGCCCGACTCCTGACTCTGCCACCTGACTAGCATCCCCAGTGGGGGCAGTCATTGCTCCCCTGCAAAGGAGGCTGCGGACGGTGCCCCGTGTTCTCACCAGCATCTGACAAAGACATGCCAGAAGGGAGCAAAGCGAGGGACCTGCCCTTGTCTGATGTGTGTGGCCAGCCTGGCACAGAAACAGCCACTGCTGCTGCCCGTCCAAACGGTAGTGTCTATGGCCACAGTCACTGCTGTCCGTCCTGATAAACCAGCAAACTGTGCACGAGGAGCAGGCTGTGGTCCGTCACTGGTAGAAAGAGAAACGGCTCATATGACCTCTTTTCCATTTGGCAGGTTGACAGGACAGAAGTGATTCGAACCTGTATAAATCCCGTCTTCTCCAAGCTGTTCACGGTGGACTTCTATTTCGAAGAGGTGCAGCGGCTGCGGTTTGAAGTCCATGACATTAGCAGCAATCACAATGGACTGAAGGAAGCAGATTTTCTTGGTGGCATGGAGTGCACTCTTGGGCAAGTAGGTATCGCTGCCGTTTTTCTTCCTCGTCTCACCTTTTGTACACATATGAAATATACTGCTTTGTTAAATGACTGATGAGCGAGGTCTGCCATTTGTGACAGATCTCAGTGCTTTGGAAAAAAGGTAATTGAGAACTTCTTCTGGTTTGTTTTAGTGCTGTAGTATAGCTTTAAGTCAGCCAGTGCTATAGAAAACTGAGTGTCAGTGATTGGCCTTGGACAATAAGAGCACAGGGTCATTACACCAGTGTTGAGACACAGACTGATTTGGGAGAAAGTTATTGTTCCTAACGGTATATGGCATTTAAAGCAAGTTCCGAGTCCAAGGAACACTTACAAATACACTTTATTCACATAGGTTAGTGCCTGGTGATGTGGCAAATAGAGAGATAGGGTTGGATTAATTTCTCTGGCTCTTAGTCATCCAAAAGTTAGGTGTCTAGACTAAGTTACTCTTCTGATTTCCAGCTTTAGTTCAGTGGAGAGAAACAGACAGTTTCAGCAGTTGATTCACTCCACCCGAGACACCCATCATAGATTAGGATAAATTGCCTTCAGGAGATACCTGTCTTTCCCTCTGAGTTATCAAGAGAGTCGAGACAGTTGGCTTAGAGGGGAAACCCAACTTTTTGGATGCCTAAATTGAGGAGTGATGAGTCTTACCCACAGGATCGATATCTAGCAGTCATAAGAGCCAGGTCTGCAGCGAATTCCTGCATTGCTGACTGGTAGCACACTACAGTGTCCCAGGTATCACGGTTTATTTCTAACGGGCAGACCTTGTGTTATGCAAGGTCTCATAACGCAGATCTCGGCTCTGGCCATAATGCCAAGGATGGTCTTGGTTTCGCTGAGCTGAGTGTAGATTCACTCTCCACTCTGCGGCAGCTTGTGTGACGAGACCAGGCAGTGCTTTCTTTTGGATTATCCTTTGCAGTGCTTCCTTGTAAGTTTGTAACCTAAACGTGGTAGCTTGGAATGGAAGATGCTACGAAGCTTTTGTTTCCTGTTCTCTCACCTTTTGTTGTTGTGCCCTCAGCCCCACCGCACATGAATCCCTTTGTTTTGCTTCCCAAAGCCCTTGGGCCAAACATGCAGAAAAAGGAAAAGTCCTCTCAGTGAGAGAATTAGCGTGAAATGTGTATATATAAGCTATTCTAGAACACCAAAGAGAACCATAAACAAAGAAAAAAGTTATTATAATGTTCTTCTCACTTAATTGGCTTGAAAATGAAGGGAAAAGAATGTCATTGCTGCTGCCTGTAGCATAAACATCTTTATAATGATTTGATCTCTATAAATAGCACACAGCTGGGTTGGTTGCAGTGTAGTGTTAATGGTAACCAAGAAAAAATAATAACAGTGTGAAATCTGTTCACATTAATGTACCCTTGAGGATTCTGATCTCATATTTAGACTTTTTTTGGTGGGGTTTTTTTCCCACGTCTTTCTAGTTTTTTAAATTTACATAATTCCTCAGCTGATTTAAAACCCCCCAGAACGTTAGGACTGGAATTGTCATCCAAGGAAAGCTGTTATGAGGAGTCCAGTGTTGAAAATCCTGCAGCACAGGCTGAACATACAGAGCTTACAGTTGTGCTTAACGGTTTGGTGTAATTACTGCATTTTTTAAAATTATGATAATAGAGCCATATCTTTTCTTGAGATAATTTTGATATGAATTTGTTGCTCTACATCACTTCAATGCCTCACTAAAACGTGATTTTGTGTGAGCGTGTGTGCCTGCCTATCAGTTCAGTTTCCCACTGCCAGCAGGTCTTATCTGAGCTGGCCAAGGCTGTAGATTTTTAGGCATAGTCTGAGAGACTGATTCCCACCCCCCATAAATGTGCCAGCTGCTATTGCTCTGTTCTAGGTGATAGCTGATCTATAAGAGATTCACTGCTACTTAGACCTGATTGTAGATCATAATTTAGATGTGTAATAAACCTGCAGTTTTACCGAAATCATGTAACACTCCTACCTAAAA